TTGATGCTTCCCTCTGTCATTCAACATTTTACACATAGAAACTTTTAAGATTGCAGCAGTAGGCTTGGATTTTTTTTTTACTTTACTTTAGATATGTTCAGCTTTTTTTCCCCCTTTTGTTTTTCTAATTCTAGGTCTTTTCACGTTTCATTATAATATTTGGCTTTATCTCCTGAACAGCCATTTGAAATTTGAAAGGATGCAGTAGATCATCAAAACTAGAACACATTAAAAGTTATTTGAATAGTTAAAACATATGGTTACATGTAAAATATTCACCTAACTATGTCTGCATCAATTCCTATTCTAATGTGTTGTGGCTGAGAGCAAATCTATTCAGATGGCACCTCTAGGCTTGAATTTTTCTTTCTCTAGTTCTTTCAGATTCTGATATATTCAGTGTGTTCTTTGTTTTTGGTTTTCTAATTCTAGGCCTGTGCTCATTTCATTCTAATATTTGGCTTTATCTCTTTGAGCTGCCATCTGAAATCCAAAAATAAGCAGTAGATAATTAAAACTGGAACAAATTCAAAATTAATCAAAATGTAAAACAAATGGGAATATGTTAGCATTTCACCTAATGACGTCTTCATGAATTCCCTTTGTACTGCACTGTGTCTGAGGGTCAGGCTATTCCCATCCTTGGCCAAGAACCATTGGAGGATTAATTTTCATGGGGACCCTGCACATGGATATTGGACTTTCACTGTCATCCCTAGCCGTTTTGCAAATCAGGGCTCAGAATTTAAGCTCTGTGTAAGTCTGGGTTGTCACAAGAAACAAATTCATAGACATTCATATGGGTGGAAGAAAAAGCTTTATATACAAGACCAATTGAATATTGAGAAAATCTCACAGCCCAGTCCAGATCAAGTCCATAAGTCTGATGTTAGCCCATATGTCCAATGCCAATCTATAAAGTCCTCTGCAGACTCACACAACATATGCAATGACACAAAATGCAGGAAGATCACAGGCCAATGGGTGGAAGGTCTTGTGGATCTAGTGGTGGTAGAGGCACCTCAACACTGGCATTGGTCTCCATGTGGCTCTTCCGGCTCCAGAACTCTAGCACAGTTCCATGTGTCTTGTCAACCGAGATTTCTCCAAGGGGAGTGAGCCTGTGTCCCGGCTCCAACAAACTATTCATCTCCTTAGTGCCTCCCAATGAGGTCATCAAGCTGCGATCTGATTGACAGGCTCACCTCCACCCCTTCACTCTTAAGCCTCAAATTGACACCAGACTATATAACTACCAGAAGTTCAAATACAACTCCTTTTGACACTCTTTGTAAAACCTGGGCCCAAATATAACAATGTCACAAAAGGCAAAAAATGTATATATATATATGAAAATAGCAAGTACACTGTAGTCTTAAGTTGCCATTTATTGGGCCAGCAACTATTTTCAAAGTGTCTAACAACCAAATGCATGGATTTGGAGAGGAGCTCGCTCCTGCTTCTCAACCCACGGTGTTATAGCTTTAAATTAAATGAAACATTTTGGTTCCCCTAATCTCCAACTGGTGTACCTAAAGTCCAATCCTTTCAATAGTATTACCCACAATAAGTCTGATGTGGTTAGTGAAGAATGCTGTACAACTTGGAAAGGTGATATCTAAAATCCAGGTACCCTGAAGTACACAGGCAGGGTGACAGAAGTTTTAAACAACTTAGTGGGGAAAAAAAAAAGAAAGATTGATTAGCAACATGACAAAACCTTTGTCATAGTTGACAAGTGTCTTATAAAATGAGAACAATCCACAAACAGACACTCATTGTGGGAAGTCAGACACCAAGGAACTCTGTGGGTTACCAAGAAGCAGGGGACCTCCTTAGAACTCATGGCTGATTTGGACTTCTAGCCTCGACAACTGTGAGACAAAGACTCCCTGTTCTTTAGTCTCTCACTTATCATATTTCTTTCTCATAAGAGCACCAGGGAAGTAAGACAAATGGCAGCTAAGTAAGATATCTGCCTTAGTTGATTTGAAGGTGCTAGCTCCCCACGGTGGATAATCCAGGACTTCAGGCCTGTCCTCTTCTGACCAGGCCTCCTGGCTTCTCTTCCTCAGAGGATCTCAGCCCAACCTGGGCCTCTCATCCCTTCCCTTTGTACATTCACCTGCATCATCCTGGGACCAAAGGTGAGATTCAGCAGGTCCACCCCGGTTCAGCAAAACTGATTCTGAATTCTTTGTTGAGTTTGGTAAACCAGTTGTTAAAATGGCCCTTGTAATCAGGGTTCTCTGCCCAGCTGATTTACATTCCTCACTCCCTTTTAGCATTCATCTGCACAACACTACATTCTAAGAGCCCATAGTTAATGTTCATCATGTTCATAAGTATAAAAAATAGATGGAACTATGTTTGCCATATTTCTTTGTTCATTTCATAAACTGGTTATACTTTGGACTACATTTTTATTCCTTTGTGCTTCTTACTTGGCAAATAAAAACAACTACATTTTTATTCCTTTGTGCTTCTTACTTGGCAAACAAAGATATAATGTAAAGAGAAAACGTTAAATAGCCAGAGGGTGACAGCTGTCATTGGTTTCAGCTTTGCGTTATGTCCCAAACTCCCATGAGATATTATGAATAATTATGCAATTCCTGAGCATGCTCAAAGAGCTAAAAATCTTGTCAGAACAATCGCTGTCAGTTCAGGAGAACCTGATAGGGATTTTTCATGGATAAACATAATATGCTTTGAGAAGGGAAGTTGCCTAACTATTTCTAATATATCAAATGCAGTGACTATGGTCTAGGGTCCACTTTTAAATGAATGGAATCCTATTGCTAAAATGAACACATGGGTAAGGATAAATCACACAGGTTAACATGCTATGATAAAAGTGGAGAATGTCATTCAAGAATCAATATGGAAATATCTAAGATAACCTTTTATTGGTTTTTATGTCAGGTACTCTTTAATTATTTTCATTAATATTTTAAAACTGTTTATTATAGCACAATCTAGTTTGTTGTTAAGAGTTCTAAAACACTTCATCCACATCTCTATAATTCAATCATTTCTTATAGCACTGTCTGGTTCTGTTTTCCTCATTTATTGTGCTTATTTAAGTCTCAACTCTCTGAAATAATAAACTGCCTTTTACGATATCATTTTTTAGATACTTAAAGTGACCATGAGGCAGTGAACAGGTTGTTATGTTATTTGACTCCGAGCCCTGCCTTTGACACCAGGATCTTGGTTTGGGATGTGACTCCAAGAAACTTTGGACCCCGTTCTTTCCTGGCTGTTTGCTGGTCATTCCACCGATTTCTGACCCCCCTACCCCCCCGCCCCACTTCCAGTACTTCATGTGACTTGTCCCTCAGGGACGCGCGGGACAAGTCTCCCATGCAGCTCCTGAGGCTCTCTTCCCCAGGCACTACCACGCTTCTCAAACTTCCTCACTCCACCCATCTCAGACCCTGTGGTTACTGTTCCTGCCCTGCTGTGCTCCACCAGCTGGTGCTGTCGGAGTGGACGGAGAACTTTTCACTCAAGCCACTGGGAAGAGCAAAGCACAGTTCATCTAACAAAGGAGGAGGCTATCATTTGGGACATGCCCTGGACCAAATGCAGAGCATGCATGATGGTCACTCATCACCTGGAGAAGAAAGTCTGCCAGTGGGGCCTGAAGCCAGTGCAGGAACGTGAGTAAGGATCCGTGGCCGGGCTGGTCCGATGGAAGGGTCTGGCCCCCAAAAGACTCAATGGGTGTCACTGTAGAAAGACTGTCTCTGTGATATACTCAACTGGCTGAGGCCTTTTTATTGGAATCGAACATAAGGACAACATATCTCCATGAAATGCAAGCAAGGGGCTGCAGAAAATGGAACAGAATTCCGCAGAGCTCCGTATGGGATGGACTTGTCCTTGCCCTGCATGGCTTCCTTCCGGGTGGGCCACTTTTCTTTCAGCAGGAAGACTCAGCGAGCGCTTCTGGGTGACCTTAGGCAGGACTTGGCTTGGCATTTGCTCAAAGGCAAGATGGGAGACAGGTAGCCCAGAGAACCGTGGCCCCTGGATCTGTCTGCCCCAGTCCTCCATCAAGGCCTTGCTGGCCAAAGGACAGCCCTTGGAGTCCATCACATTCCAGTCCCATGCTCATTGTCCACAGACCCTTTTCCCAAAGCCAATCTGCCACCTCCAGGACACACGCTGTTCACTTGGGGCATAGCAGGCAGGTGTATCTAAAGGGGGCTGCTCGGCCACTCAACACTGGAATCTGATGTCCTGTCTGGTTGTCAAGGATTCCCCCTTCACCACAGGCCTCCACCCTTAAACTGCCAGGCCATTCCCATTTCCTCCGGGGAGGGGTAGTCAACCCTTCAGATGGAGCTGTGGGAAGGCAGGTGGCTGGGATGCTTTTGCTCCCTCCACTGTCCTGAGCAATGGAAGCTGAGGGATTGAGCCACACACCTGAAGGCACCGCAGGAGTCTGAGATCTGATGGGAAGCCCCTTTCCCAAGCCAGAGACAACCCTCTCTGCCCCAATGAACATCACCAGTGCATCATGCTGATCCACAGACCATGATGATGAGGGAAGCACAGCAGTCCACCAGGGGGAACTGGTCAGCAGAACGGCACGAGGAACATGTCTGCTGCACTATGGTCGGTGCTCCTGGTTCCCTGGCCGTGGTCTAGGCAGTCCTTACCAATAGTCTCTGAGATTCGGCATCTCTGTCCTGGGCCTGAACCCTTCTGACTTGATCCAAGTGGACACAAGAAACCATGGCCCACTCTTCCTAGTGTGGTGTCTCAGTGGTGCTGGTGGTCCAATGGACATGGTATTTAAGGATGGAGCCTGGCCATCTACAGCTCTGTCTATGTTCTGCAGATCTTTGATGGGAATAAGGTGAGCCAGCAGGGTTGGAGGACAGTGAGTGGTCAGGGCAGGGGTTCAGGGCTTGGATGGAGGCAGAGCTGCTCGGTGGAGGGAGGATGGTGGTGGCAAGGTTGCTGGTGTGTTCCTCTCTGAGCAGCCCCTAGGCTGCCTGGCCGATCATGTTTCTGTAGTTGGGCACGATGGTGCGTTTCAGTTCCACCACAGAAGAGAAGATCCAGTTTACCTGTGGGTGACACAGGGATGGTCATGAGCAGGGCATCCCCAACCACCCCGCCCACTGCCTACCCTTCACAGGTGGGCAGCCTGGTTGATTGGGCCTCTGCTGGTGAGCAGAAGAGCCCTGATGGGATGGAGTAGGTGGGGGCTGGCTCTGGGCGAGGTCTTGAGATGTCGACCTTGAAGAGGGTGACGGTAGCGCTGTAACACACGCTGAGCAGGAAGAGGGTGATGAAGATGGTGATGGTGGTCCACAGTCCGTCCAGCTCCCCCTCCTGGGCCTCTGTGCAACTCTCATCTGGTTGCAGCTCTGGACAGAGGAAGAGCGGTTAGTGAGTGTGTCCTGCCCCAACATGCTCTCAGAGATTGGGGGTGGGCAGCAGGACCGTTCAGGAGGTAGGACTCATATATGTGAGGGTGGTTCTATTGTCCCCTCCTCAGGAGGGTTGGGCCAGCAGGGCCCCAACATCAGCTCTCCTTGGCTATGCTTGGCAGGCTTTCTCGGCTTTCTCCTCAGGCCTCAGTCCAGTCTCTGTCCTACAGCTTGGACCTCAGCATGGCTAGAATCCCCTGGGCCTTCATGGAGACCTGGCCTACTCTGGGAACCGTAGCCTCTCGCTTGGCCACTGGCACAAGGATGGTCAGGGAACCCTAAAGGTCATCTGGGAGCAAGGCCACTCCGATGCAGCCCCTTCCACTCCCTGACTTTAAACTCTGTCCTGTTGAGTAGGCCCAGAGGGCATGAGGGACAGCAGAAGGCACAGGGAGTCCCAGTGGTGAGCAGTGAAAGTGCAAGGCTTTGACTTCTGTGTGTGAGGGAGCAGGAACGTGAGTGAGTGGGCCACCAGCACTGGTCTTCGCCATCAGAGCAGTGACCTTGTGGAGAGGTGAGGAGCCCAGGGCAGCACCTTCCTTTGGATGGACCTGGAGGGCCTGTCTGGGAGGGGCTGTTAAGTGCCTGTCCTTGGGCTGACTCCTCTGGGTTGGTGAGGGAGAAATAGTGCAGGCAACATGGGAGGGGTGGGAAGAGACTCTTCTGTGTGTTTGGGGGAGGGCATGTGCTCACAGGGACACCTGGTGAGGCGTGTGGTGGGTGTGTCTGTCAGTGCACATGCTTGCTTGCATGTTCATGCGTGCACATGTGTGCCCATGTGCTCTTTATGTGTGTTGGTGGGTATGTGTAAGTACATCTTTTTCTTAGTGACAACGTGTGTTCATGTGTTCCCTTGTGTTTGTCCGTGTGCACGTGCTTGTGTATCCATGTGTTTGTCTATGTAAATGAACGTGTGTCTGTCCTTGTGTATCTGCCTATGTGTGTGTGTTTGTTCATGTAAGTGTAAGGGTATGCGTGTTAGTGAGCTCTTGTGTGCCCATGTGTATGTGTCCATGTGTGCACTTCAGTGAGTGTATACATGCCTGTGTGTAAGTCTAAAAGTGTGTTTTCTCATGTGTACATGTATAGCTGTGTGTACGTGTGTGAGTTCATGTGGTTCCATGTGTATACTTGTGTGCATGCGTGTGCATGTATATGCACGTGCATGAATGTGAGTGCCTGTGTGCCCATGTGTGTATGTGAACATGTGTTCCCATGTGGGTTTTTGCATGTGCTTCTTCATATATACAGGTGTGTGTGAGTGCATGCATGTCTGTCTCTCTGCATGTGCATGCATTTATGCTAGTGTGAATGTGGACCCATATGTCTGTATGTTTGCATGTGTGGTGTTTGCACTGTGGGGCATGTGTATATTTGTGTGAATGTGTGTGTGTATGTACATGCATGCGCATGAATGTGAGTGCCTGTGTGCCCATGTATGTGTGTGTACATGTGTTCAAATGTGGGTTTTTACATGTGCTCCTGCAAATGTACAGGTGTTTATGAGTGTGCATGCATGTCTCTGTGTCTCTGCATGTGCATGCATTTATGCTAGCGTGAATGTGGACCTGTGTTTCTGCATGTTTGCATGTGTGGGTGTGTGCACTGAGGAGCATGTGATTGCTGGCATATATGTTGTGTGTGAGTGGTCGTGACCTGAGGGTGCCAGAGTGTCATCTAGGAGGAGGGGCTTGTTTTCCATGTCTCAGAGCTCAGGGACCATGGAGAAATCTGCTCAGTGCCCTCCCTGCCTCAAACAGACAACAAGGTGTGTGTGTGTGTGTGTGTGTGTGTGTGTGTGTGTGTGTGTGCAGAGTGACCTGGTTTCAGAGATGCCCTGGGACAGCATAACCTCCATGTGACATGGAGCCACCATACGCTGTTGCTGGTAGGTGGGGGATCCTGAGCGAGTTAACCACTGGCCTGCCTCAGTCCCACCTGAGCACGTACTCTGGCAGAATCGGGCTCCCGTGGACCTCAGAAAGAACCATGCCAGTCTCACAGGACCCCAGCGCTGAGCTGGTTGCTTTATTTTCAAGGTGAATCTGCTGGAGGGGGTGTATTTACAGGGAAGCTCCATTTGTGCTCAGGGCCCCAAGAAGCAGAGGGGGCAGCACGCCCACACTCATTTACCCGGGGACTGAGCGACTGCCTTCTGGGTGTAGTGGTTGTGCAGGGCCTCGTGCATCACCACGCAGTTGAAAGTCGTCTCTCGTTCCCAGTCGTTCCTAGGCACCGTCAGCTTACTGTACAAGAAGAAGGTCCCATCACCCTCCTCTTGGGGAGGTGTGTTCACATAGTTGGCCTCAGGCTCAGGCCGCTCATTGCTCATCCACTCCACATTGATGTTCTCAGGGTAGAATCCCTTCACCATGCAGATGATGCTGACCATGTTCTTGTCATTCTCAAGAATGACTGGGGCCATGGTGTGCACTTGAGGGGCCCGAGGCTGTCCTGTGGGGGGAGGGGAGGTGTTAAAGTCATCGTAGAGATTAGGGCACCCCATGCCCTCTGCCCTAAGACTTCCTGTCTCACCCTTGGCCTTGGAGATGGTCCTTACAGCAGGGGCAGGAAGGGCCCCGTTGTTGACAATGCACTTGAACTCCTTGCCCGAGAGCCAGTCCTGGTGCAGGATGGGGAGTACACTGGCCACGCGGGAGGTGCCATTGTACTGCTCCTCCTGTGGCCCATCCTTGGCTGTGTGCACCTCTGTGCCGTCCACAAACCAGCTGAACTGGACTTCGGGTTCGTCCTGGCCCACATCCAACACCAGACACGTCACCTCCGGGTTTCGGGACATCATGAGGGTGTCCTTGGGCTTGGGTGGGAAGATGAAGACGGAGGGTCCTCCCAGATTTTCAGGAGCTGCTGAGCAGAGGTGAGATGAGTGACAGGGCGGGGGTCTAGGGGGTGTACTGGGCTTGTCCTCCTCGGGAGGCTCACTTCTCTTCACAAAGGTCAAGCTCACGTTACCTGGGCATCTGCACTTTGTGGTTGATCTCGAGCTGACATCTGTCACTGGGGAGAGAGCAGATTGGGGCAGGGTGAACTTGGTGCAGAGGAGACCAGTGCTGAGGTGGGTGGGCGTCAAGGCCAGTTCTTCTCTGTAGCTCTGAGACCCACTACCTGACTCTGAGCCCGGGGGCTAATCTTCAGGCCTTTAGCCTATGTCTGATTTAGGTCTGGCCTGGGGACAACAGGGAGGCAGACAGCTGTAGTTCTTTAGGAGGGGAAAAATGGCAGGGATCAACACCATGCCCTGTACCTCAGGGTTTGCCCAGGGCCTAAGGAGGACCTGACCCTGAGCTGTGGATTTGGGATGTGCTTCTTCACTTGTGCCCCTGACCAAGGCTCACCGATCTTCTTGTCCACTTTGGTCTCGCTGGGCATGTGGGTGACACTGCAGGCATAATCCTGGCTGGGCCAGCTGCTAGAGGGCATGGTGACCATGCTGATGAGGGAGTAGAGGCCAGACGAATGCCGCATGGGTGTGAAGGTGTGCACATCAGCCTGGGGGACAGAGGGCCAGGATACTGCCACCAGCTCCGGGAAGAAGTCCTTGACCATGCAGCCCAAGGTCACCATGGAGTCAGATGCTTCTCTGGATTTGGGTGTCAGGGGATAGACTGATGGTGCTTTGGGGCTATCTGTAAGAGAGAGGTTCCCATGTGACCGTGTGCTTCTACAAAGTTGGTCTGCCTGCCCACGAGGCCCCACTTCTGTCCCGATGGGCACCAAGGGAGCACACCTGATGGTCACAGTGGAGGAACACACCTGCCTATCTGCCCAACCCCACCTTAAAGCCCCCTGCCCAAGATGCCCCATGATGGGCCCACACTGGAGTAGCTCTGGGGTTACCCGCTTCCAGGATCACCTCTGGTGGCTCTTGGCTCACTTCATACCCAGGGCCTCTGGCTTGGCTTGGCCCCCCACACCAGCTCTCTGGGAGTCACCTGGACTGGCTCAGCTTTGGGGTATCCCAGCCCCCAGGGGCTCTTCCACTCTGCTTACCTGCTGGCTTCAGACATGAGTGGCCCCAGTTTCTATTCTTAGCCTGAAGTCACACCGGGTCTGGTATCTTCCCTGGATGCCATCCCTCCTCTAGTCACCTTCTCTGTCATCCCCGAGCCAATACCCACCGCTGGCCCCCACCACCAGCCAGGCCCTGTTTTGGGGTGTGCCAGCCTTGGCTGTTCTTTCTGCCTGGATCCCAGTCCCACTCTCTCTGCCCGGAGCATCTTTCTTGGGGCCCTGCTCTTGATTTCCTCAGGCCGGGTTTTCATGAGTCCCCCTTATTCACCCAACTGCAGGGAAGCCTTTGTAGGGCCAGTGTCAAGGCAGGTCCTGCTGGCCGGCTCCCTCCCTGCCCTCATGAGCATGGCAGCCTCTGCCCCTTCACCAACCTCCACAGACCCAGCCAGATCCCTGGCTTGGCCCAGTCTCCTGCTTCTCTGAGTCTTGAGTTCCTGGCTCCCTTGGTCTTGATCTTGTGCACAGTGAGAGCCACTGTGTCCTTCCTGTCCTCCTTGACCCCTGTCCAGGTCCTTGTGGACCCTCAGGAGGTCCAGGCTTCCCTCTTCTCGGGCTCCAGCTCCTCCTCGCTCCACCACCTAGAGTCAGTCTGGGAGCCAGTCCCCTCTTCAGCTCTCCTGGCTCCTAGGCCACCAGCTCAGGCTGAGAATGGCCCTGTGTGTGAGGGCTGGGCTGCCCCATGACCCCCTCCACTGCCCCTGGCTGAGCCTATCCCTGCCCAGGAACCTTCTCAGTGGTGCTGGTGCTCTTATCAGGAGCCTCAGGTGGAGGAAGAAAGTAGGGCTTCAACTACTCAGGCCTGAGACCTTCTGGTGAGCCCTTCTGGTGAGCCTCTGTGCCCCCACCTTTCCTTGCTGAGTTCCCCTGCCCCATCAACTGCCTTGTGACCCCACCTTCTGGCAGCATTCCCTTGACACAGACCCCAGCCCTCTGGAAGAGCCTCTGACTCCCCACCTCAGCCAAGGGCCTCTACCACCCAGGGTCACCTCTTTGCACCAGCAACACCCACCCCCCAGCCCCATTGCTCCTGCCAGGGCCATCTCCAGCCTCTGCTCCCTGCTGCCCTTCAGTCAGTGCAGACCAGGTGCTTCCTGACATGCTCAGCCCAGGGCTCCTGCCTCCCTCCCAGCATCTTGAATCCAGGTCCTACAGGACCCTGTGTCTCCCAGCCTCCTGCCCTCAGAGGTGCCCTGCAGCTCCCTGAGCCCAGACCCTGTCTCTAGCATCAGGCCCATGGCACTGCCACCAGCCCAGAGTTTCCGGACCCCTCCTTCCCTGCCCCTTGCCCTCACTTCCCAGCACTGAGCTCCTCCCTGTGCTGCCAGGATCATCTCTCCTCTCCTTCCCTCTCTTCTCCCCTCTTCTGCTCCGTTGTCAAGGGCCTGTCACATCTGTGTGGGTATCAAGCTTCCACCGCAGCTCCTTGACACTGTGCCCACACCCAATGCCCATTTAGTGCCTCAATCATACTTCTAGCCCCCAAACTCAGCCCATGACTTCAAGCCCCCAGCCCCTCCTCCCAGTCCTTACTTCCCAGCCATGTGCCCCTAACTTGTTACTTACAGACCCCAAGTTCTCACCTTTCAACCTCTACTTTCACCTGCCAACACCCAACCGCCAGCTGCCACCCACCCCTCATAGCCCACCATGAACCTCCCTGTCATTCTCTCTCTTCATACAGTTGTCCCCAGATCTCAGACCATGACCCTAGCACCTCTCTCCACCGCCCAGCTCCCAGGACCCAGCTTTGTGCACCTGCACCCAGCCCCTGGTCCTCAGCTATCTGATAGCTCCCAGAGCACAGCTCACACTCCCACGCTGCAACGCCCATCCCCTAGTTCACAGCCTCAGCACCCAGCCCCTTTTCCTCAGCAATGAGATACCACCTCCAAGAGTACAGTTTAAACTCCCATGCCTGAACTTACAGCCCCTAGTTCACAGCTTCAGCACCCAGACCCTAGCCCTCAGCTTTTACTCCCATAACTCAGCTTCCAGCTCCTAGCACCCAGCCTCAGCACCCAGCACCTAGCCCTCAGCTATGAGATACCACCTCCCAGAGCACAGTTTAAACTCCCATGCCCAAGCTCCCAGCCCCTAGTTCACAGCTTCAGCACCCAGCCTCTACCCCTCAGCTATTACTCCTGTGCTCCAGCTCCCAGCTCCCAGTTCCTAGCACACAGCTTCAGCACCCAGCACCTAGCTCTCTCCCTCCCTGTCACTGGGCCGACACCAGCTCATAGCAGCCCTCTAGGACTGAGTAAAACCAGCACTGTGGGTTTGTGGAATGTTCATTTGTATGGTGTAGATAGCATCGTCCTTCTGCCTCAGCAGGGCTGGTAGTTTTGAACTGTTGAACTTGCAGTTAGAAGTACACTGTGCCACCAGGATTGTCAGTTACTAGTTCCCAGCTCACAACTCACACCACCCAGCTCCAACTCTGAGCCTCCTGGACCACTCACCCGGCACCCAGCACCCAGCATCCAGACTTCGTGCTTACCACTCAGCCCCCAGCATTCTCCCACTCTCCCCTGCTCCTAGCTCCCATCTGCCAGCCCCCAGCTCCCATGCCCACCGCCCAGCACCAAGTCCCAAAGCTCCCACACAGCCCTTAGCTCCCAGCACCCAGCTCCCATGCCCACTGCCCAGCACTGAGGCCCGAAGCTCCCACACAGCCCTTAGCTCCCAGCACCTGGCAATCAGCACCCAGACACTAGTACCTAGCTTTCAACATCCAGCACCCAGCTCCCTGCAACTAGCACCTACCTGCCAGCCCCCAGCATTCATTCTCCACTTCCCATTTCCCAATACACAACTGCCATCACCCAGGACTCCCCACTCAGCGCCCAAACTCCAACACCCAGCTCTCAGCACCCAGCTACAGTGCTCACCATGACTCTCAGTACCCATCCCACTAACCACAGCTCTCAACTCTTATCCCTCATCCCCCAACTCTTAGCACCTAGTGCCCACATCACAGCCCCCACCTCTCCTCCACTGGCACCCAGTACCAGTTCTCAGCTCCCTGTACTCGGGACCCAGACCCAGGCCCGACCTAGAAACTCTCATCATTCATCCACTGGTTGCGAGCTACCAGCTTTCTTCTGCCAGCACCCAGCTTTTAGCACCCAGTTTTTGGCTCCCAGTACCCAGTTTTCAGCTCCAACACCCAGCGCCCAGCATCCGGGTTTAGCTCCCAGCTTTCAGCTCTCAAAACCTAGCACCCAGCTCCCAACACCCAGCACCCAGCTTTGAGCTTCCAGCACCCATCACCCAATACCCAGTTTTTAGCTCCCAGCTTTCAGCATTCAGGTCCCAGCACCCAGCACCCAGCTTTAGCTTCCAGCTGCCAGCACCCAGCTTCCCAGACTCAGCACCCAGCATTTAGCTCCTAGTACCCAGATTTTAGCTCCCAGCAGATATCACCAAATACCCAGCTTTATGTCCCAGCTTTCTGCTCCCAGCACCCATCTTTGAGTTCCCTGATTTCAGCTCTCAGCACCCAGCTTTTACACCCCACACTCACATCCCAATTCGCAGCTCCCAGCACCCAGCACCAAGCTTCCAAGACCAGCCTTGGCTCCTGGCACATAGCTTCCAGCTCCCTGCTTTCAGCCCCCAGTCCCCAGGTGTCAGCTCCCAGCCCCTACCTTCCTGCCCCCAGTTTCCAATCTCTATCTGATCTTCCAAAGAGACCCTCCAGATCGCTGCTTATACCTCCGCTCCCACTGTGGTGCCTTGAGCCCCACCCCCACCCCCAACCCCACCTGCTTTTCCCATCTCCCTCACAGCTGAGATCCTCCAGAGCCGCTCCCTGCCACCCCGACTCCCCTCAGCGGAGCACTGGCCACTGAGCTTCCCAGTGCCAAGGAGACACTGACCTGCCACCATGGCTGGTTCTCACAGCTCCATGTATATTCCTGGGAACCCCATCTTGTGCCCCATCCCTGTGTCTGGTCACTCATGCTAGAGTTTGTCCACAGGAACACTTTCCTGCCCCGACTGTCCTCATCCTTGGCTGCACCTATGGGTGGTCACTCTGGGGAATACCGCTTTGGACCCTGCCCTGAGATGGCTGCCAGCACTATGCATCAGCATGGGACTCTCTTGACACTAGGGAACCCCTCTGTGCTGAGCCTGCCCCACCCTGGCTCCTACACTGAACACCTCTTCTCTCTCCCCCTCAATCCTGCGCAGCCCTGCCTGGCATTTCCTTCTGCCCTCCTGCCTTGAGGTCCTTGCACCCTCATCCCAGCACTGTCTGCAAAGATCTGGAGCCCATGCATCTCCAGCCCTGTCTGCCCCCGGGCACCTGCTCAGCTGGCATGGCTGCACCCAAGCCATGAAGATGAGTTCCCTGCAGTGGGCAGTTCCCATGTCTGTGTGGTCACATCCTCAGTCTGCTCAGCCTGGTGGTTCCTCTGCTTATCCATCTGGGACCTGGCTGGTCCTGGCAGCTCCCCCTGAGGCCCCTAAACTCCCCCTCCCTTGGATGACTCTCCACTACTGCAGGTGTGAAGCTCCCTGTCCTATGGACTCACTGAGTTAGGGCCCTGTGCTGCCCCCTCACCAGGGCAGGCTTGTGCCCCTCCCAGCAGAAGGGCGGACCCCTCCAAGGGCTGGAACCACTAAGAATGGGATTGAAACCTGCTGGCACTGCTGCCTTCCCCCAGGGCTCTTTTCATCTGGCTGGTTTCTGTCTCAGAGCCTGTGGGGGGAAACCAGACCAGTCAGGGCATCTCATCTGGGCTGGTGGGGGAGGGGCTGTCTCCCTGGAACATGGGAGCTGGGGGTTGCAGGCAGGGTTCCCAGACACTGTGTGCTGCCTGTAGGGTCCTCTCCACCCCTGGGATGCCCACGTCCACCTGGCCCTCTTTCTGCCCTGGTTTGCTTGCAAGGTGGGCTGCTTGGGAGTCCAGAATGGTCCTGGCATCTGGTGCTGCTCAGCCCTCCACCACCACCACCCCGCCCCCCAGGCCCAGGGAGCAGCCTGCACACCTGGCCTCAGAAGAAAAATCTCCTTTCTTTCCTTTTTAAACCATATTAGGGTCACTTCATTCACCGGTCACACAATTCAGCAGGTCAAGCATATCAAGAAGAGTGGCACCAGCCCTACCACAATCCATCTCAGAACATGGCCTTTCCCTGTGCTCCTTAGTAGTCATGTCTTTTATTTTCCCAATGTGGGCAACAGTGTACACAACAAAGCATCCTCCATGTCAACGACTTCTACACGTATAACTCAGTGCCATTGATTATACTCTTTCTGTTGTGCAATTGTTACTGATATCCCTGTCCAAATTGTTCCACCTCCTGAAATGGGCTCCATGCCCCTCAGCAAAGCAATGCTCTTCCCCCTTCACCCAATGCTCACCATGGGTCAGACAATCTTGATTTGTGGTGTCTGTCTATGTCCTCTGCTGGTGGTCTCCCTGGAATCCCACCTGCCTCTCTTTGGCATCATCCTTGGTCCATCCGTCTGATGTCTGGTGGTCCAAAGGGATGATGGCCTCAGGCTTCTGCTGAAGATGCATTGAAGAAGCAAGAGACACACACAGGGTCCGTGTTAGCCATAGTCTGCTCACCTCCTGGTGACTGTGACTGTGAGCACTATGTCACAGTCTCTCAGTGAGTTCCTCACTTTTTAGTTGAGCCCTATGGGTGGGAGCCCCACAGAGTCCCTTCCCACCAGGATGCCAATGTTTCTGGAAAAAGCATGTGTAAAGCATGCATGTGTCGTGTGCTTATGGCCCCTCTTCCTGCATCTGTCCCTGGCCCAGCTCCTTGGGTTCTTGTAGGACTCCTTTCAAGTTACGATGAAAATATCCTTGCAACCCTCACGTACAACAGTTTCTCTCTTTCCCTCTTCCTCTCCATTCTATTTATTTACATCCTTAGTTTTGGCATTCCACAAGTGAAACAATGATCAAACCTCCCCATGACTTGCCTTATCTCCCTCTTTCCCTTCCACCTAACTGTTTGTAGAACATTCTCTCCCCTTTTGTCCAAGCGAATGCCTTTCTCATCTGAAACCTCTTACTCTCGCCTCTCTCCTTTACCTCACCTCCTGTACCCATCAAAATCTGTTTCTTTTTGTATGAAAACTATTCATTGACACACACACACCCTGCCCACAATATTGGTCTCATAGAATATTTGTCATTTTGTGATTGGCTCCCTTTACCTGTCGGCATGTTCTCCCAATCCATCCATGGCCTGACATGTTTCACTGTTACATCATTATTCTTTAACTGCGTGCTGTATTTCAATGTGTGCATATACCGGTCTGTGCCCATCCTCCCACCAATGGACAATTAAGTTGTCTCCATCTTCTTGTTCCTGCAAATAGTGCTGCCAAGAACGTGGGTGTGCATATACCTGTTTCTGCTTTGCTGCTTGCTTCTGTAGGGTACATACCACATAGCACCATTGCTAAGTCATGTGATTGCTGTGCCATTCTGATTCCCAATTGTTTGAGGACTTTTCCTGCCACTTTCTACAGTAGTTACTGTTGTACAATCCCACCAGCAGTGTTTGAGGGTTCCGGTCTTTTCTGGATTCCCTCAGCATTTGTCATTTTCTAGATTTTTGAACCTTGGCATCAGTTATGGTATGAGATGGTATCTTGCTGTTATCCTGGCTCTCATCTGTCAAATGGCAAGTGATAGTGAGCATTTCCTCATAGGTTGTGCATAGCCTGAATAGGTTCTTTGGTGAACTGTCTATTCACATCCTCTGGCCATTTCTAAAATTTTCTGATTCATCTTTCTCATGGTGAAGTCTTGACATTTTCTATAGATTTTAGAGATTGATGTCTTTTTCTGTGTGTGTGTCATTTTCAAACACATTTTGCCATTCCATGGTTTCCCCCTATAGTCTCTTGGTGAAGTTTTTTGATTCACACAAAAAGTGAAAAAAAAAAAGCAATGAAACAAATTGCCATCAAGTAGCTTCTGATTTCTGAAGACCCTGCAAAACAGGATAGAATGACCCCTGTAGGTTTCTGAGACTGTAACTCTTTTTCAGAGTAGAAAGCTTCATCTGTACCTGGTGGAGTAGCTCGTGGTTTTAAATTGCTAACCTTGCTGTTAGCAGCCTGACCTTCACCCATTGTGCCACCAAGGTTCCTTCTGATTCAGTCTGTGTCTTATTTCAGGAGCTCCAAGTCACACGTTCTGTCTTCTGCTGTGTATGATTTTCATTGTGTTTAGCAGTGTTCATGCCCCATCTTAGCTGCCAAGCTTATCCTTATTCATTTATTGATGCTCTTCAGTGTGGTAAGCTTGTCATTTAGGTCTCTAATCCATCATGAGTTTGTTTTTGTATATGGTGAGATATGTGGGCCCCACTTCATTTTTCTGCAAGTGGAAATTCAATTTTACCAGCACCATCTGTTGTAAAGATGAGAGATTCCTCATTGAGTATATTTTAGGCCTTTGTTAAAAAGTAGTTGCTGGTAAGTGGATGGATATATTTTTGGGTTTTCTATTCTATTTCAATGTTCAACGCTTCTCTTTTTGTATCAGTATCAGACAGTTTTGACTAGCCTAAGTGTGCAGTAGGCTTTGAGTTTGGGAAGTGAGAGTCCTCCTACTCTGTTCTTCTTCCGTAGTGATTTGTTTCCTGTGTGTCTCATTCCTTTCCATATAGAGTTGTCATGTTAGTCTGAGTACTTTAGAGAATCAAATCCACAGAAACTCATGTATAAGAGAGAGTTTTATATAAAGGTCAAGTGCACATTAAGAAAACATTCCGGGCACCCAGGCTATCAAAAAGTATAGAGTCTGGGGTCTTAAAGGCTTGAAGGTAATCAAGCGGCCATCAAGCTCAGAAGCAACAAAGCCCACATGGAAGA